GGGGGACAGGGGTCTACGGGTGGCGGGGATCGGCGGGTGGCAGGGGCAGGCCCTCGGCCCCGAGGTTGTGGGGCGGTGTTCGGTGAATCGGCGGGCTCCGAGGGTCGGTGCTGGAGGCGGGGCAGCGGGGGCCGGGTGGATGGGGGGGCCACAGAAAGACACACACACACACACACAGTGCCACACACACACACACACAGTGTCACACAAGAAAAAAAAAAAAAAAAAAAAAAAAAAAAAAAAAAACGCACACACACACACACACACACATACGCCGTCACACACACACACACGCACACACACACACACACATGCTATGAACAATGAACATGATTGTCTGTTGAACTTTGGCCAACACTCGCTCAAAGAGTCACAGAAACTCCCGTACACGCCCATAAATGCACAGAAAAAGGGGGAGAGGTAGTGGAGTGTCCCACCGCCCAGAAGAAGAAACTCAACGGAAGACTCAGAGAAGCGAAGTGACAAAATACATAATTCAGTGAATTCTCTCCACAACAATCATTCATAGATAACAACCAAGTGATCACAAGATTCACAACCAGAAAGCAATGGAGAGATGACAACTCAGACACAGTATTAACACTGTTTATTGAACTCAGAGCATCGTTCAACTGAAACAACCTCAGAACCCTGTTGCGCTACCCTCAGAGGGGTAGCGCCTCAACCCCAACACCCTGAACAGCTAAAAACAGCAACGAAAGTTACTAAACTCCAGCCTCCCCACGTAACACCCAGCGGGGCAGCGCCACCCTGACATCCAACTCAGTGGCCTGCGCGAAAGTGAAACAGGCTCCCAGAGTCAATCAGCGATCGCCACTCAGATGATGAAGTAGAAGCTCAGTGCCAACAGTACCTGATGAAGATGAAGTCCAGACGATGATAATCTCTGAGAAGATGCAGCTATGGCTGGATCGCCACTGGGAGTCTGGGAGCCTGGGACCCTACTCCTGAGGAGGGTCAGCAGTGCAGCACGTACTCCAATGCATCAGACCTCTGATAGTCCAGACCTTTGGTGTCCCCATCCTATCTATAATCTACATATAGCCTAGACTGACCTAGACCGGATTGACTGACCAGTTTTGGCCTCTAGGGCCTAACCCTACCCGGCTATAGGCTATAGGACCGTCTATCAACATAAGCCAGTAGGGCCTGTCTGTCCTAGGGGTAGCCCGGGTCTGCTATTCGCAGTTTGGGTAGCTGTAGGGAAAATGAAGTTCGTACTGGGCCCGTATTTCTATATTTACAGATATGTCCCTCGCGAATTTTCCATACAGGCAGGTATCTTGGTCAGTCCTCTGCCAAACAAAGAATGATAGAGAGCAGTGAACACACAGAGTGACACAGTCACACAATCACACAGTGTTCCTCAACGAATCCTCGCTCTCTGACAGACTCCCGAAAAGTTGTGAAAACCAATCTCTCTCTCTCTCTCTCTCTCTCTCTCTCTTTGCGCCTCCATTCTGCTCAACAGAGAACGAGCTCGCGCCCGTCAATCAATAGCCGGCAAATGTGTCGATGGGGTGCAATGACCTTCCGGGCCAAGTCCAGTCCTCATCCTCACGCGACGACCTCCGCCGTCATCTCCGTCCGCCGTCCGGATCCTCGAGACGTAATCGGAGTCATCAGGATCGTCGGCGCCTGTGGTCTCACCACCCTCAGCGGCTGTGGAGCTGTCCTTGTGGATGATGATCGTGCCGCCTCGTCTCTTCTCACCTCGCCCTGATTCGTCCCCTCTATCACCTCTGTCCACCCCGCCCCTTCCATCTGCAGCAGCTGGCATCTGTCTGGTCTCGTCACTGTTGCGGAAAAAAGGATGCGGACGGCGCTGGTGATACGGAATCGACGCACCTGTTCCCTTCTTCCTCGCCCGTGATAGGCTCGCAGTAGCCGTCCTGGTATCATGGACATCGGTCGTCTTGGCCCGTATAGGCCTCCTATGCTGCTCCTCGTAAGCTCTCATGGAATTGTGACAAGTACCATCGACGTTGCCGATCAATCGCACCCCCGCGGGCGCATCTGCCGGTCCACATGCTGATGCATGTCCGATATCGCCCGCCCTCCAGTCCATGGCCGCACCGTCGTAGAAAGACCTCGTCAGCAATGCGCTCTGCGAGGCCTGCCCATGGGCGACGGGGTCAGCGGCAGGGGAGCGTGAGGGTGGTGGACGCATGATGTCACGCATCCCCATCAGATGTGGTCAAGGCTCATCTGTGTGCGCGTCTCCAACGTCATGTGCGTTGGGCCTAACAATGTTGGATTTGTGGTCGATGACCCTATGCGCTTAATGCCCCCCCCGATGGACCGTCCAGCGTCTGCGCTCCCTGGCTGCGCCGTATCATGGCCCACGCCCTCGCCTCCGTCCGAGCGGATAACTCCGAGAGGCACAACTTACCTCCACCTTACGGGAGCTGTCACCTCCCTTCGGTGGGCGTATCCCCGCCGAGCTACCAGTCCACAGTACGAAAGCTAATCAGTTGCAATCGCAAAGGTGGACCAGCCGAGGGCGTTTCTCGTTCGCTGTAGCATAGGGGCTACGCACGGTAATACGCCTATCGGACCCGCACGCTAACCGACATCTTGGGGGGCTAAAGTCCCAAGCGAGGCTCGACGCCGGTCAACTAGGACGCATCCCACACACCACGCGCACACCATTTTACGAACGCAAAAGTAAAACACACACACACACACACACATGCGAAACGACACAACACAAACAACGCGACAAACGCTCCTAGCCCCTTAGTAGCCATCCCATAACCTTCCAATACGGAAATCGGATAGGCGCCGCGCGCGAGACTTAGTATAAAACTGTGCGGACGCAGGGCCAACTCATATTAACTCGCAATGCAAGCGTACGCAAGCAGTCGCAATGATGGTGTAGTATGTAGTGCCCATAATCGTGCGGCCCTCGTTAATCTCGAGGGTCGCATTCGACACTCAAGTGTCGGCTGACACGCGCCTTGAGGGTTAATCTCTCGACACTTGACAACCGCCATGCACCATTCAATAAAGTCCGAGTGAAAACACAACAAAACAGTTCAATCACAAGGCTAAAGCCTTTAGGTTGAGTGGCATGAGTGAATTGGAGTTGAATCGTAAACCGACGAATCGACAACCGACCTGTTATCAGTGATAACAGAATGTGATCCTTGTAGGATCAAGCTGAAACTAGTCCCAATCCTGAATCAAACGATCAAGAGGACTTGTAACGTATGACAGGCCAATCCCCAAGCTGAAATCATAAGTGTACGGAGAATACAACTCCATAACACATTCTCACTCAAATCCTCCTAGTTAACTAGGCCTGAATCTACCTTTAAGCAGTGCTCAAAGGAAAGGCAGACCCTAGCATAGTCTTCCCTATACAGGGTGGATTGCCAGAATCGCCACCTGTCAAAATATAATCTAACTCCTCTAAATCAAGAAAATTTCGTCAGCGCTTCGCGTAGGAAAAGTGTCTTTTCAGAGTTTATATCAGCCCAAATATGAAAGCAGAAATAAACTCCAACTCTGGAAAGTCAAATTCTGTCTAACTCCCTGAATTAGTAAAAATTTGGACAGCACTCCCTCTAGAAAGGGAGACTTCTCAGATTTATACTAAGTTAGATATGAACTCAAAAGACAACTCGAGTTCGATTTAGACAAGATTTAACTAACTCCTTAGTTTTGCAGAAATTTTGGCAACGTCCCTTTAGAAAAGGGTTATTCCAAAATTTATACAAGGCTAAGTTCAGAATTCAAAAGTAACTCTGACTTCTCAAAGTCCAATTTTAGTCTAACTCCCTGAATTAGCAAAACTTTGGGCAACATTCCCTTTAGAAAAGGAGACTATCCATACTTTTACTAAATCAGATATAAAAAAAGACAAAGTTGAACTTTTGACAAGTCAAGATTCGACTAACTCCTTGGATTTTCAGAAATTTCGGCAGCGCTTCCCGTAGAGAAAGTAGCTTACCAAGATTTATACAAAGCCAAGTATAAGAAAAGATCCTAGAAAATGTGTAAAAAAAATTACTACAGAAAATGCAGGAATTGACACTAACTCCTATGGCTCTAGCACGTGGCGAGCAACTAAAGCAACTACCTATCAAACTGAAACTCAGACCAAGTAGTAACCTAATTCAGCCACATGCAGACCAAACCACAAAGGTAAGTACTCTCATCATCCCCAAGTCAACCTGAACAGACAAAAGTTCATGATCCTTCAATGATTTAGCCCTTTATACCCAGCTTACATAAGGCATAGGTCAGGCCACTTGAACTTACAGAGCGCGCCCAACTTAGCCAGGCCTAAAGTCAGAATACCTAAACTTATAGAGTGTTCTGACTTTAGCCAAATATACACAAAACAGAGGGCACAAAGACTTCTCTCTTCTTTGGGCACATGACTAGACCACTCTAGTCGCCCTGGACTGTTTAAGATATCCAAGTTGTATATACCTCTCTGACTTTAATCTTCAAGGTGGTCGTAGGACTGAGTCATTCATCTTAGAAACAATGCTCAGTCGGCCCAAAGTTTACCTTCAGTTATATTTCTTAATTGTACTCTGTTCAAATTATGATAAGCTACAGTCAGACCATCCAATCTTATGGAACCCGTGTTTGACTGGCCTGTTCTTAATAGAATAATAATGGCGTATGGCCAAATTATACCCTTGGGTTTCAGCATGTGCGAGGTTGTGAGCTAGACCCCTTGAACTTACAGAAGGATCTAACTCTCTACCAAATTCATTTTTCTCTAAACCATTGTGTGTGTGGCATCGAGTCAACCCCCCTGAACTTACAGAAGAGTCTGCCTCTTTGCCAAAGATTACTTCTTCAGAATAAAAGCAGGAAGAGACTGAGCCACCTGAACTTACAGAACAACTCGGTCCCCTCGTTCAGAAACTAAAGAAACTCAGAAACCAAAACTTATTGAGCGCCCTGAGTCCCTGGAAATCAAGCGCAATCAACCCCTCTCCAGCCAGAGTAGTCAGGCAACCTAAACTTATAGAGCGGTCTAACCCTCCATGCAGACCACAGCTCCGGGTCTCCCCAAACTTATGGGGACATCCCAGCCTCCAGAGTAGTCAGACCTCCTAAAGTTATAGAAGGGTCTGACTTCTTCAAGTAAGACCAAAATAAACAAAGCGTTGGGCTTCCCCAAACTTATGGGGACGTTCCAGCCACGACGACCCATTCAACCTCCAACCAAAACAGGCCTCCATCCTGCCTTTTCCAAGTGCAATCCCTTTTAACAATCTCACTTCAGTCAGACAACAAAGTTGAAACTGACATTAAGCATACATTCCTTTACTTAGTCTGGTTCATCCTGAAAGTCAAACAAAAAGTCAAGTAGGGCTGCATACCATATATTCAGTCAACGATG